CAGCAGGAGGGATCTTGTTAAGCTGGCAAGAGCTAGGAATGGAATGAGTCCTCTGGACCCGACATCCCTGTGCAGTGAGTCCCCTGGATTCAGCTACGTCATCAGAGAGGCCAGAGCACGGAACAGAGCGATGGGCTTCCCAACCCATGGAGCAAGGAAAACTGACTGCTTTGTGCAGGAGGCTGCCTTGCGAAGTGGGGTGCCTCTGGGCACTTAATTGGGGAAGTGGGACTGAGCACTTCATTGGGGGAAGCTGGACTTATGGAAGTGGAGCAGAATGCCTTCGGGTTGAGGCTTCTAGCAGAGTGGGGTGTCCTTTGAACACTGATCAGCAGACTCCCCACAACTCTGAACATGTCCGCTCTGAGCATTGCTCCCTGCCATGGACGGTGGCCTGTGAGCTTCCTCAATAAACCTTTAATCATGACACGCCTGTGAGGCTTTTGTAGTGCTTGCAGCGGATGTTAGAAATCAGGGCGGCAAAACAACGCAAAGACAAGACACTAGCCTGGTGACAGAATGGCTCCTGCTCCCTCCCTCCTCAGTGGCACCCAGCTACCCCTCACCCTGCCCCGTGAGCCTCTCCCCCTGAGACCCGAGTGTTTTGCAGTTTCAGTACCGTGGGGGTGGGGGTGGAGGGGCTCTGACCTGCCAACCTCTCTCCTTCTCTGCCTCCTCTAGAGCCGCATCAACACAACCTTCACTTCCTTGGTGCCAGACCCTACCCCGGGCAGTGAGACCCCAGAGACCAGCCAGACAAGGGCCTCTACTCTTGCCTCTGGTCTCTTTGAGGCCGGCATGCATCGGGAGTTGTCCAGGGAGACTTACACAGTTGGGACACTGTGCTCCCAGGGATGATCACAACGTCACAGCCAAGGACCCCTGGGGTCCTGTCCTTCTTAGGTCCTTTAGCAATTGAGTTCAGTCTGTCTACCTCATCCGCTGCAAGCAACATTTGCCTATGCTGCGAAGTCCTCTGGGCCAGTGCCGGTGCTCTGGGCATGTGGGGGTGGGGGTGAGGGACGCGGCCCCCTTCCTCACAGAGCACATGCTCCAATGCAGAGGTCAGAGGGCTCCAGAGCAGCACCATGTCACCTGAAGGGGGGGGGGGAGTATCCTGATGTTTGCCTCCCTGGGCTCAAGACATACTCCCCAGAGGAGGAGCTTCCATGGCAGAAATGTTGGGGGAAGCATTGTGGGCAGAGGGAAGGGTGTGTGCCAAGGCCAGGTGGCCTCAATGAGTCGGGCTTGGGGAAGCACAGAAACTCCAGGAAGGGGAGTCGGGGGCGGGAGGCTGGGAACACACGGGGGAAGGAGGGATGGGATCCTGAGCGATTCAGACTTCAGGCTTCACCCTTGGGTGCCAGGGAGCATCTTAAGTGGAGGAGTTAAATGGCACTGAATGAAAGAATGTCCCCCTGACCTCACTGGCTTTACCCCATATCACAGAGCTGGAGTCCCATCACCCAGAATCCTGTTCCTTTCCAACTCCCTGGGGGGAAGGGGTGTGTGTGGCCTAGCCCCTTGCCCTGTCTTGCCTCCCTTCATCTAACCTTGAAGATCTGCTCCACTCCCCACTGGGCAGGGGCACAGACACTGTGCACAGAGCCCCTCCCACCAGCTTCCAGGAGCAGGGTCCGTCGATGTCTGCAGGACCAGGAGCTGAGCCAGAGTGGGCGAGATGGAGGCCCAAGCAGACACGTGACAGAGGCAGAGGGACTGCAGGAGATGGAGAGGAGGCCCAGGGATGGGCCCTCCGAGGTGCGCTGCCTCCTGCCTCCTGCCTCCCGAGATGCTTTGGGCCTGTCTCCCCATCTTAAGTTACTGTGTGTGTGGAGTTTGGTCCTTCATAGCCCACGAGTCTGTATGAGGCAGCCCCGGCCCCTGCAAGGTGGTCCTGGCCCACCAGCCTTCCCAGGCAGTGTGAGGCTTTTCTCAAACAGAGAGGTCTCCAGGGTCAAGAGCCCTTGCCCTCTTTGCACTTCCTGGGTCTCTCCAGAGTGGAGGTGGGGGGCTCGGTACTGCATGCTGAGGCTCAAATGGGCCCCAGGCCTGGGAAGGAAGATGGCACATCTCCTCATGGGGCCTTTGCAGGGGAAGTGATGGTGGGGGTGTGACTACCCCCATTCTGAAGCCAAACAGCACTGGGGGCCAGTCCCCATCCAGAGCCGCACGGTCAGTGTGCCAACCAGGATTTGAACTCAGCTCTTCAAATTCCACGCTGCATGTTCCTTTGGCCTCATGGTGCTGGCGTTCTCCAAGCCCTCCAGCTCGCCTTTCTTGACCTGTGGGAAAAAGACCCATGAGATCCCCGCGGGGAGAGGCTGGGCCTGGGGAGGGGGAGGCAGGGCCGGAGGGGAGGACGCTCATCAGGGACCCTCATGGTCCCAGAGTGGTGGGCATTGCTCTTAGGGTGACTCCAGGCTCAGCAACTGGGCTGTGGGGCGGGGCTGCCAGGGAGCCTTGGGATGGGCTGGACTGCAATCTCTTGCCTCCCCACCCCCAACTCAAAGGTCCCCACAGGAAGGAGGCCAAGGGCTTTGACAGTGACACCTGGACTGGTCATTGCTCCAAGCAGCCCGGGGCCCTGTGGCTCCCGACCCTGCATTGGGAGTGGCATCTTGCAAGCAGGTGGGAGAGGACCGAGTCCGGGGGGGTGGGGGAGCTGAGTCCAGGAGTAGCTGCTGCTGCACCCAGCAGCCTGCATGCCCTGCAGGGAGGAGATGACAGAACATCTCTGCCTTCCTGCAGGGCGAGGGCCGTCCTGCTAAAGGGTGTCTCACATCCATGTCTGTCACAGCCACCCGGCCTTTCTGCTCCCAGGGGCTTTCCTCAGGCGGTTTCCAGAGAGCGATCCCCACGCTTCTGGCTGGTAAGCAGCTGTCTAAACGGGCGCAGAGAAGCCCCTGGTTCTTTCTGGAAGGTGACAGGCTGGGAGGTGGCCACCTGCTTCCCAAGAGCTGCAGCTGGCCCAGCCCCGGGGTGGGGGTGGGGGTGGCGTGAGGCCAGAACCTAGGGGCATTCCCGGAGGCGTATGGACCTCTGGTGATATCTGAGACACGACAGCAGTCAACAGGAAAAGAGGTTAAAACAAACGTTTATTTAACAAATTATATTAAGTATACAGACAATCACACGATGAAACTCCCCTTTGCCACGGACGAGTCACCTCCAATAAATACACATAGCAAGGGCCGCCCTGCACGTGCAGCCGGCCCACCCAAAGCCCCTTCTCACCATGAGGGCCTCAGGCCTGGGGCTGCACGTACGGTCCACAGAGGAAGGAGCCTCGAGGGTGAGGGCTGGGCTCCAGGGCCAAGGTCAGCAGTGACCCTCGGTGGACAAGCTCAGGTGCCGTGCACCTCCAGGCGGCTCTGTCATGGCCCTGTGTTGCCCCCCTCCTCAGGCCCACCAGATTCTCAGGGAGGCAAAGGGGCTACTGGGAGCCCCCAGAAAAGGGGCAGCCCAAGGACCTGAGGAGCCCCCAGAATGGGGGAACCTATAGAACAGGGGAGCCCCAGGCCTGAAGAAGCTCTTGCTGGTGGAGTGAGGGGCAGATGAGCCCTTGGTCTGCTCAGCATCACTGGTGGGGGTGGGGGTGTACCCCAATGCCAGCCGGGAGTAGGCCTCTTCTCACGGGGGCGGGAAGCCCCTTCCAGGATGGAAACAGCAGGTCACTGTGGGCATGTGCTGATGAGGGGACTAAAGGTCAGACTGGGGCCAGACAAAACTTGGGGCTGAATGTCAAGTCCTTTCTTTGCCAAGTGGCAGCCCTGCGCCATGGCCCCAGTATCAGTTTCTTCATCTGTAACAAGGAGCAAGAACACCCAGTTCTGGGTTAAAAAATGTGGTGGGGGGCCTGACAGGAGAGACTGTGCTTTAACGGAGCCCACCAGGAGTCCTGCTGAGAACAAGGCCGTTTCTTTCATCC